AGGTGTGTTTTCTACTTTTGATGTTTCTTGTTCTTTTCGCGTGACTCTTCAGCTCCTGGTCTTTACAAAATCGCATCCCATATTTTGCAGTTGGTATACACTACTTCTGTCATTATTTAGTATTTCATTATCTCCTTTAAAAGGAATCACAGTATATGCCCATTACGTTTTCCTCATTCTAAGAAGTAATCAATACATACAAATATGTCATACTGTTTCTGTTTTTATCATTTTTGTGCTATACATTATAAAATATATAATTTAAAAGTTGTGTTAAGCATGTCTCTGGTTCATTTAAAATGTAGCTACCTCTTTGGTGCTCGCCACCTTTGAGATAGAAAGTTCTAGAAAAAGATACTTTCTGCTGACACTGAGTTGGATTTCTCTTTAAGCACCTTTTTTTCTTTTCATTGAGTTTATTGGTACAATTTAGGTATACAATACAGTTACATTCATTACTGGGATCCTGTGCTTTTACATGACAGGTCTTAGTTCTCATTTTTTCCCCTTGTCCCTGCCCTCTCTTTACCCCCTCCTCCGCTCCCCATTTACAAACACTTTATTTCCATTTTTTCATTTTCTCATATTTTTTCTTTTCTCTTATTCCCTTTCCCTTCCCTTCCCACTTTCCCTGCACCTTTAGCCCTTTTCTTCCTATTTCATATTGTTAGTTATCTCATTAGGATCTTGTGTACTGTTATAGTTTTTCACACCAGAGAAACGATTCGGTATTTACACATGTGTGACGTATTTATTTCACTCAGGAGTATATCCTCAAGCGCCTTTTGCAAGGGGCTGATCTTTCCAACGTATTAGGCTACCTCCTTCCCCTGGTCTTTTTCTCCTCCGCGGAAACTATTGAACAGGACAAAGGCAAAGCAGGGATATCAGTAAGTTAGTGGAACCTCGGGAGAGCAGAGTTGCAAAGGGGCCGTAGGGAAGGTGGACTGAAGCAAGCCTGAGGCCACCGCTCACTCAACTGTGGACAGTTCCTGAGGTCTGACAGGAGGAGAAGTGACCCGTGGTTTCCCTGAAGCGAGAGGAAACATGCAGCCTCTGCACTCTGCTCTTAGGTTCAGGAGGATCTCACAGTGGAGGGAGTTCGAAGTTTTCTTTCTGGGGATCCTAAAACAGGGCCAACCTCATTTTGAACGCTCCACACATTTTAATGATCAGACCCTACACAGAGGAAAAACAACCAAAATCCAAACCAAACTAAACCAACCAAACAAAACACATTTATTTATTTTTCCCATTGAAATTGAGAGGATTTCGCTTCACTCAAGCAACCTTAGACTCTGACCATTGCAGTTTTGGGGAACTAATTCAAGTAGTCCATAAATGAATCTTTAAATATTTCTTAAAGTTTCCGAGCAGAAAAATAAAAAAGGGGAGAAAATGTTTCTGTGAACCTCGTAATTTTCCCACATTTATTATTAGTCTCGTTTTTTTTTGCATTCTGAGAAGAGAAAATAATCCTACAAGGAAAGAAATATACTTCTATAGTTTTCATTTAGATGCCAAAGAAATAGCCCGGTAGTGAGGGGATGCCTTTAAAGATTGTTGATTGAGAAATTCTAAGGTGTGTATCCTGGAAGAGAGATAGCAGAGGATGACTGGCTTTAAAAGAAAAAGTAATGATCTGTTGGTTGAAGATCAGGTGACTTAACAAGAAGCCCGTGGTAGAGAATTCACTACAAGTGTGGAGGGGACAGCAGCTCCGGGGGTCCTAAGCAGTTTGTGTGCAGTTAGAAGACTGAAGAGAGAATGCCATGGCGTGTGGCATAACCCCAGAGTACCTGGGATCTGCCGCATATTCCTTGATTTTGCACTACAGGTCATTCCCTCACTAGGCTTGTGACACCAGACAATGTAATTCGTCATTTTAACCTCAGACTCCGAAGAAGAGGGGTCCCAAATTCATAGGGATCTTTTCATCAAGGGGGTTAATCACGTAGAGTATTTAGTAAATACGTTCACTCTTTAAAATCATTATATTTCCAGACTCAGTGGAGATGGGAAGAGGATGTGGGTAAGGAGGGAGAGAGGATGGCAGGGGAGAAGAAGGGAGTAAAAATGATCAAGATGTAATATGTAAGTAGACCAGATCCCCAGGTCAGATGTAATTATTATGTATCAAAATCATATACTAATAAAAACTAAAATAAAAAGTCATTCTATTTCTACTAAA